TAAGATACAAGCTGCAGCCCGGCAGGACCCGAGCACCCCTCACCCAAGCTCCCAGTGGGAGGAGAGGAGTTGGAGCGGGGAGGGAGAGAGAGCCCAGGACTGCTAAACACCCAGCCCCAGCCATCCGCACCAGAGCGCAGACACAGTGCATGTGTGGGGTGCTGGAAACTAGGGAAACAGGACAGTAAGACCTGTGAGCGGGTCCCCTCAGCTGGCACCCCGGGGACACAGAAAAGCGAGTGCTTTTTGAAAGTCTTAAAGGGACAGGAACCCCACAGGTGGACGGAAGTGCCTGAGGACACTTAGCCCAGCAGCTGGGAATCACGGGGAACTCTGGGCACCCAAACCCCCGCAGCGCAGCACAGAGGCCCCTCTCCACGATAAACAGCCTCCTGCCTGTTCCCCATCCGACACGGCTCCGCCATATCAGAGCAGCAGCCTGAGGCAGGCCATGCCCACAGCAACCGCAAGCTAAATAAACTTCACAGCGGCCGGGCAAGATCAGAAGCCCCGTCTGCACGCAGCTGCCCAGCACAAGCCGCTAGAGGCCGCTGTTCTCCCAGGAGAGGAAGGCCACAAACTGGCAAGAAGGGACTTTCTCATACCCAACACACGCGCCAGCTCCCCACAAATACCTCTATCGCCATGAAAAGGCAGAAGAAATTGATACAGACCAAGATCACAGAGGCAAACCCTGAGAAGGAGATATACCTAACCAGTCTTCCTGAAAAAGGATTAAAAATAAAGCTCATAACCATGATGATGGAGCTGCAGAGAAATATGCAAGAGCTAAGGGATGATGTCCGGAAGGAGATTACAGAAATGAGACAATCTCTGGAAGGATTTATAAGCAGAATGGATAAGATGAAAGAGGCCATTGAAGGAATAGAAACCAGAGAACAGGAATGCATAGAAGCTGACACAGAGAGAGATAAAAGGATCTCCAGGAATGAAACAATATTAAGAGAACTGTGTGACCAATCCAAAAGGAACAATATCCGCATTATAGGGGTACCAGAAGAAGAACAGAGAGAGAAAGGGATAGAAAGTGTATTTGAAGAAATAATTGCTGAAAACTTCCCCAAACTGGGGGAGGAAATAATCGATCAGACCATGGAAGTGTACAGAACTCCCAACAGAAAGGACCCAAGGATGACAACACCAAGACACATAATAATTTAAATGGCAAAGATCAAGGACAAGGACAGAGTTTTAAAGGCAGCTAGAGAGAGGAAAAAGGTTACCTACAAAGGAAAACCCATCAGGTCATCATCAGACTTCTCAACAGAAACAATACAGGCCAGAAGAGAATGGCATGATATATTTAATGCAATGAAACAGAAGGGCCTTGAACCAAGAATACTGTGTCTAGCACGACTATCATTTAAATATGATGGTGGGATTAAACAATTCCCAGACAAGCAAAAGTTGAGGGAATTTGCCTCCCACAAACCACCTCTACAGGGTATTTTAGAGGGACTGCTCTAGATGGGAGCACTCCTAAGACTAAATAGATGTCACCAGAGAAAATAAAATCACAGCAAAGAAAACAGACCAACCAAATACTAACTAAAGGCAAAAAATAAAAACAACTACCCACAAAAGCAGTCAAAGGAAGCACAAAAGAGCACAGAATTAAACAACCAACATATAGAGAACGGAGGAGGAGGACTAAGAAGGGAGAAAAATAAAGAATCACCAGACTGTGTTTAAAATAGCTCAATAAGCGAGTTAAGTTAGACAGTAAGATACTAAAGAAGCTAACCTTGAACCTTTGGCAACCACGAATCTAAAGCCTGCAATGGCAATAAGTACATATCTTTCAATAATCACCCTAAATGTAAATGGACTGAATGCACCAATCAAAAGACACAGAATAATAGAATGGATAAAAAAGCAAGACCCATCTCTATGCTGCTTATAAGAGACTCACCTCAAACCCAAAGACTATAGGAACAAAGAAAGACAAGTAACGAAAAGCAGCAGAATCATAGAACCTACGAATGGACCAACAGTCACCAAAGGGAAAAGGACTGGGGAGAAAGGGAAGGATAAGGGTGGGGAAAAAGAAAGGGGGCCTTACGATTAGCATGTATAATGTGGGGGTTGGCATGGGGAGGGCTGTGCAACACAGAGAAGACAAGTAGTGATTCTACAGCATCTTACTATGCTGATGGACAGTACAGTAATGGGGTTTGTGGGGGGGATTTGGTGAAGGGGGGACCCTAGTAAACATAATATTCTTCATGTAATTGTAGATTAATGACAATGAAATTAATTAATTAATTTTTTTAAAAAAAGAAGAAGTAACACATAATGACAAGCATTTGCCAAGAGGCAAAAGAGAGAGCAGCAGTCCAGACTCTGGACAGTGGGTACTGAGTACCTGGTATAAAACTTTCAAGAGCAGCATAATTAACTAATTCACAACATGCCTCATCTCAAATGGCTCTGGTGTAAGCAGAGCTGAGGGGCTCCGCTAACCAGTTAGACAATTCCAAGTGACTGGTGGTAATCAAAACCCTGATGGTATAGATGCAAGTGAAGAGTGTGAGAGAAAATTGTTTCGTGAACTCCAGGTAGAACCAAACAGGAATTAACACATCTTTTACACAACACATTCCCATGTCTAACCATAACTAAATTAATAGACAACCTAAGCAGATATTGATTTACATGCCTGAAAAGTTTACATATCCCAGCTGGCCCAAAAGAAGGCTAGAAGAGCTTCTTGTAGGAAAACAGCAGACTGTCTTGTATTTACGGTCTCCTGCTACTAAACCATGTATGACATCTGCTGATTAGGAACCCGAGTGCCCATCCACTAGGTGACACGCAGCAACATCCAGCATTCAGCTTTACTGTGAGGAGTCAAGGTGATTCTGATGCACAGTAACGTGCCAAAAGCCTCCTCGGCAGTAATTTTCAGCTGAAATCTTTGCTGCCAAACTTACAGGGTTGCTTACTGTGCAACACTGTGCAGGACTTTGCCCAAGAAGATTCCCACCAACTATTAATATATTAATAATCAGTGGATACAAAGCTAGATGATCTTACAATTTCCACCTCCACTGCTTTTTCCTCTTTGAAAATGATAAAAATACAAGATTGGACATAATTCAGACTCCTCTTACTGCCCAAATTTAGTCCTTATGAAGTGGGCCTGTGGGCCTGTGAAGAAAGGATTGAGGGTCACATGTAGTTAACACACACAAAAAAAAGGAAAAATGTGTCCTGAAGTTCCCTAATGCTCAGAGGACCACAGTCTAAATAGTTGCATATGCCTATAGATAAAGTCAACCAATAATTCCAAAATCCAGTTAATTTCCTTCTACTCAGTGTTATTACTAAAAGTTGCAAGTTCAACCCCTCATGACAATATTTTTAAATGCCACAAATGCCACAGAGTTCCAGGAGCTGCCTGCAGACCATGGCCTTTCACATTTCAGAGCTCCTCACCACCTGATTCCAACCCACTTCACACAAGACGAACTGGGAGGACATCTGTAAACACATGGTCACCAAAATGTTCTAGTGTTTTACTAGGAGCCTCATTCCAAAAGTCACTTAGTTCTCCCATCAGGAAATAACCGGCTTATTTTGTAAATAAAGACCTTTAATTATAATAGATGAAAACAGTGAGGACAGGAAGGAAAAGTTTGAAGATCTGTAACAAGAACTCTTGTAACTGGGTTTAATCACAGTTAAAACCAAAGACAAATTACTTAATTCCCCTTCAGCATTGAAGCCAAGTACAAATATTCCTTGGCTTCTTGACTCCCCATTCTTTCTGATCCATAGCAAAAACCCAGTGTGGCAAAGTATGGCATTATATGCTAGAGCTCAGCATCTAGGGCTTAAGTTCCTACCCTCAAAGATGTTACAGTACTGAGCAATTCTGATGGAAGAATTTTCTCAGCATTCTAGTATCAAACACATTGGAAGGATTAATTACATGGTTTAGGCACCACCAGATCCTTAAACGGTCAAAAGCAGAGGAATACAAGTGTTTTCTAAACTGAATGATAATTCCAATAGATCAACAATGTATGTTTTTACCTTTACATGGGCTTTTCTACATTTAAAGAAACATAAAACATGAGTACTTGTCACTTAAACCAGCAGCATTCCACGGGCTGCCCTCCCCCAGTAACAGTTCTCAAGATGGCAGAGGCTGTGAAGTGACACTTTCTAAATAGCTTTTAAAACAAAAGTACTGAAACCTTCATATAAGGTCCCTAACCAGAGCAGTGAACGCTGTACAGTGCAGTTGCTCGCGGGCGCGCGCACACACAAAACTCCAATAAGGGGCAACGCCAGCCTCCCTAAAGGCGGGAAGGACGAGGGTTTCCTCCTCTTACATTTTAATCTGTGTTCTTACAACCCCCCACGACAACCACACGCTTCTGTCTGCCCAACCCTCCCTCGCCGGCACGCTGGCAGGAGGCCCATGGGTTTCCCAGTGCCCAGGCCCGGGGAAACACTAAACACTAACCCTACCCCAGAGGCTAGTCTGGGGATCCAGGAGAAAACCGTTTTGGGGGAGATGGGAGGGCCCGGCAAGGTGAAAAGATGGGGAAAGGAGCCCAGCCCGCAGAGGGACTGCAGGGTCTGGAGGTGAACAGGGCACAGAAAACGCGGCCGCGCTGTGGGAGGAGGGGTGTTACCCACGCGGGAGCAGGCGGCCGGGTTCCCTGGGATCACATGCCGTCACAGAGCGAGTGTGGGTGGTGGGAAAGACATTGCAGAAGGGTGCCGAAGGGCAGGGGCTGGCTGGAAGTTCAGAAAGCAGGGGCGGGGTGGGGGAACACTGTCCAGGAGTTGGCAAGTAGGACGTGAAAGGTTCCCTCCCCGAGTCCTCGGAGGGAAGCAAGTTGGACGGAGACGAGCGAGGAGCGATGGAGAGCATGGAGCCGGCTCTCTCCTCCCGCTCCCCCTAGCCCCAACTCGCGCGCGCACCCACGCACACGCTGGCGCCGCGCCACCAAGCGGATACCCACCTTTGCCACGGGCGCGCTCCTGCTGGTCGCCAGCTCGCGCAGGCTGGCTGTGGCACTGCCTGCCGCCGTAGGGATGAAGACGGGAGAGCCGGGGTCGCTGCCCGCTGCACTGCCCGCGCCGCCCGCCGGCGCCGAGGCCGCCCCTGCGCCGGGCCCCGGGCGCGCGGGCGGGCTGCCCCCCGGGCTGGCGCCGGCGCGGGGCCGCTGGCGGATGCCGTCCAGCAGGCGCACCAGCAGGATATTGGCGGGCAGCTCGTCCACGCTGCAGCCCACCAAGATGCGGCACTCGGGGCAGCGCAGCTCGTGGCGTGAGCACACGATGCTTTCCAGACAGCGGCGGCAGAAGGTATGCTGACACGGCAGCACCTTGGCCGTGGTGTCCAGGCGCTCCAGGCACACCGAGCACTCCAGCAGATCCAGCAGCGACGACTCGTCCATGGCCTCGCCTGCCACCGCCCGCCGCCGCCGCCCGCCGGGCCTGTCGTCGTCGCCCTCGCTCTGCGCAGCAGCGGCGGCCGCCTTGGACGCGCACAGCCAGGACGCCCCGAGCAGCATGGGGGAGGCGCCGGCGGCCGCGCGCAGCTGCCTAGGTCCCGGGGCCGGAGCGTAGCCCGCCGCGGGCAGCGAGCGTCAGGATCGCGCCTGGGCGGCGGAGGGGAAGCCCGGCGCCGCCAGCACTTCCGTCACCCCGGCTGCCGCCTGAGGCTGAGACTCGGCGGTGCGAGCGGCGCGCCCACCGGCGTGCGTGGGGACCAGAGTTCAGTTCCGCGCCCCGAGAGCCAGTTCCCTGCCAGCCGGGCCCACTCGGTCTTCCTGAGTGAGGTGTCCGCGACTGCCCGCTCCACCTGTCCCGTCGCGTGTCCGCCCGCGCGGGGTCCGGGACGCCGCCGGGCACGACAGTCAGTGGCTTCTGCGCTCGGAGCGGCCGCCCACGGCCGGCAGCCCCGCGGCAGGAAGTGCCAGGAGTGGCCGGTCCAGTCCCCGGGGAGGCCGGGGCGCAGCGTGCGCGCTCCTCCGCGCCGCCTCCATGCGCCCTGAGCCTGGCCGCGAGCCGCTGCCCCCAGCGGGCTCGGCCAGACCCTTGCTTTTTCCTCGGCCGCGAGAACGTGCGCGGGGCGCGCGCGAAGGTCACGGTCACTGAGGGGCGCAGGAAAGCAGACGCCGAGCCCGCTGGTCTCCCTTCGTCCGGAAGAACGCTGGCGGCTAGCCCTGCCCGAGGGCACTTCCAGGGCTCCCGGCCACCCCGCGCGCGCCCTCCAGCGCAGGCTTGGCCCGGTCCCCTCTGGTCTCCCTGAGGTTTCCTCTGGGCTCTCCGCGAGCCTTAGAGAGAGATGCTTCCTCCCGCCGCTGCCGTGAAGGAAAGTTTGGGCGGCGTTATCACGGCTGCCTTCCTCGCCAGCTCCGGCAGGCCATCTGGGGACATTGCCAACCCCTGGGCATCCTCCTGGAAGACGCCCCGGAGCGCTCCCGGTCCGGCCCCCTCTCCAGGCAGCGGGCAGAGATGACAACCCCTGGGCTGTGGATTGGGTGCGGGAACGCCCGCGGAGCAGCAAGGGAGGCGCTGGGTTTAGCGGGGCGCCTCGGGGCCGCTCGGATTCCTCGGACGCTGCCCCCTGTATCGCACCGCGCGCCGCGCCCCGGCTCCGCGCCGCACCCTTGCCTGCGCCCGCTGCGGCGCAGCCTGCCAAGCTCCGCTCCAGGGTCTCTTCGGGAGCAGCGCAGGAAGGGGATTCGCGCCTCCTTCCCAGCGCGGGGCTTCATTTGGGAGCGTCAGAGCAGCGGAAGTGCGTACGGCGGACCTCAGCCGCCGGGAAGTTTGGTTCTCGGCTGGGAGGCGACGCGGAGATTCCCTGCAGTGCGCTGCCCCCTCGTGGCCGCTCGTGTCCCCGCGCGCCCGGGCCCCACCCCCCGCTGCGGAAGCCCTGGTCCAGGGCGGTTGCAAGGCCGCTGGCTCTGGACGGGTCGAGCATCACAAAGGCGTTGAAGGCATCTACAGTCAGACTGTGGTGAGTGGACTTGAGTAACTCGACTTTTCTGGGAGAAAATATTACTTATTGAGACTTAAATGCAGGAATGCGCCTTTGCATTATTTTATTTAATGCTCTAAATGGCCCTGTGAAATAATTATTTGAACTTCATTTCACAGGTAAGCAAGGTGAGGCTTATAGTTATGAAGTCATTGGGGCTGATTTTGTATCTACAGACAACACAGAGAAAAGATCATATTCCATTAGAATATAAGCTCCCGATAAACTGTGTATTTTTACACTGTAATATCCCCAGTGCCTAGAGCTAGAGCAGCAGTACTTGGCGTAGGAGGTGCTCAATAAATATTGTTGAATAATGAATAAAAGGTCTCAGAATCATCATCTATAGCGATTTAAACGCAAATCTTAGCATCTCCATTCCAGATATCCTGAACTCATTTCAGGCTGCCCGTCCCTGGTAACTGCTCCTGATGGCAGCAGGAGACACTCCCAGGGCTTCAAGGACAGGTCTCAGTGGTGTGGATTTCCATAGGTGTTACTGGCATCAGCACTGGCAGCTGTGTGAGGTGGAAGGCATCCCCGAGCTGCCTGGCTAACCAAACCTGACCCCAGGGACACCTTCATTCTCCTCCTTTTACTCTGCGACCCTCCCTCAGCAACAACTGAGGAATTTTTCGAGAACCCAGAATATTTGATCCAAGAGAAGGTGGCTTGGACACAGAACAAGTGGGGAGTGGGAATGGGGAGCCCTCAGACACTGGGAAGGCTCGCAGAGAGCAGGGGCTGCCTGTGATGACATGCTCTGGGGGCTTCTTAATGAGAGCAACAGACACCCATGCTAACCAAGTTTTAAAAAGAGCAGAAGAGGTTGTGAGAATCAGGAGCTGCTCACAGGACCCGTGGCTAAGAGCTGGGCCAAGTCAGTGCAGCTAGGACCCCAGGTCCCACCCCTCTCTCCATCTAGGTAATAACAACATACCCCTTCCCCCTCTTGCACCAGCCGCCTCTGCTTCCCGCCTCATGTGATGGGAACCACCACCAAATTTCCAGAAGCGTTTCCAATGGCTTCAGATACTAACAAAAGATACTCCTCTGATGCTATCACAGCTGGAAGTTTTAAAACCCTATCACCTAATGTGGCTTTCCCAGGTGGTCAGTCTGAACCAAGGTGCACTGACCACCAGAGCAGGATCATCACAACCTGGCAGCACCCTCAGGACAGGTGAGGATTTCCAGAACAACTGGCATGCTAGGCAGACAGCAAGAGATGCCCACGCCAGGAGCTCAGAACCACCTGCCTGCCCTCAGCTTCCCTCGTGTAACACCCAGGGCCACACCAGAGCAAACACAGAGCCAGGAACCCTACCTTTCTCAGGACCCTCTGCTCCCATTCCTCCCCTGTACCACCTGCCTTCACCAACTTCCAGAGCACACACAGGCCGCACACCTGGCATAGTCAGAGGCTGGGCTGGCATGGGAATGAGCAAGGCAGGAGAAAGCTAAGTGGTAGAGCGTGATGGTGACTGCAGCCACGTGATCCTGGGCCTTGGAGGGATGCCATCTGTTCAGCCCCAGCCCACCACACACTGCCTGGAGGACATGGGAACCTCATAGTACCAAATATTTCTACTTTACAAGAGAAGTTGGATGCCGGTAGCCGACCTACTTGGCCTGCCTGATGGCACAGCCCAGCAGGCCGGTGGATGGATGCCGCACAACGGGCCTCCAGAGGGGAAGCTACTGGAATCTCTTCTATTGCTTAATCTGACCATTCCCCCAGTCTGAACAGCCCTCTTGAATCAGAACAAGCCCCTAGAGAAAAGACTGTTAAGGGTTGCAAAGCAGTCATTAAACTCAGCTTGTGACCCTGCACATTCCCTTCAGGTCGGTGGGTTATTATCCCTAGGCTGGAAAATAGAAGAAAGTTCAGGTGACTTCAGGGTTCAACTCCCTGGCCAACTTCTCCCCCAGGAGAAACAAGAGGTGACTAACATGGTGTGTGGGTCAGGAAAACAGGTGGGAAAATCTTGGTAGAGTTCCCTTATGAATAATTACTATAGAAATTACAGTATGCATTGTTATAGTCAAGATCAATAGAATAAATGCTGCTGTTTCTACTGTAAATTGTTTCAGGAACTATGGAAAAAACATGCCCCCACAGCGAGCCTAAGTGAGACTCCAGTTGAGCAACTTTTAGACACATTCAGAAAACATTGTGGTGCCTTGTAGAAATTTAACCTGAGATTAGAATCTAAAGGTATGAGAGCAACAAAAAAATCTTGAAGAAGAAAACATATCGCAGTTGGGAAAGCAGGGGAACATTTCAAGAAGTAGATTATGCCATGAATCACTGAATGACATATGCCTTATGATGATTTTATGATGATTTCATGTACCCAGTCTCCTATATATTGCTTGAGGTTTCTGTCAATAAACAGGCCCAGCCAGCTTAGTATCTTTGCTAGTGCCTGTCCTCACTCATTTTGCCAATGCCGTTCCTCCTTCAGGGACCCCTGGACTCACGTGAGCTAGACTCCGGCAGTCAAAAGGCCCACTTTTTATGTGAGATCTCCTGATATTCAACAGTTGGCAAACCAATTCAGTTTTCAAAAAAATACAATCATTATCCAAACAAAATGAAAGTGTGGCCAAATTGGCCCACAAGCCACCAGTTTGCAATTTCTGGCGGAAGTAGCCAAGTAAAATGTACCACAGTCTAAAGGAATTTAAGGGTGTGGACCAAACAGTTGAAGTATTACAAATACAGTTTTCTATTACTTGTTTGAATTTGCACATGTTCAATAACTCAGTGATATAAGGAAATGACTGAGCAGACCTGGCTTAGCAGCCATTGATATGAAAAGACCTCGGGAATTCAGTCGATTATAAGCACAATCTGAGCAAAGGTGAGTCACCACTGCAGTGTGGCTGCCTAGAAAAGTAATGAAATCTTATGATGTATTAACGGAAGTTAACGGTTGGGTTGTGGAAAGAAAGAACCCCATCATCACTTGGGCTTGTCAGGCCCCATCTGCAGGCTTGCTTTCTATTCTAGGTACCAAATAGCAATGACATGGCAGAAAGGAATCTGGAGACCTCATCCAGTGAATTCAGGATGAGGGAAGAGAGTGTCTGTACAAAGAAGAGCAGGCTCAGATGAAGCAGGATGGGCAGCTGTATGCCTGGGTTTGGGCTGCCCAGGATGTGAACTCCTTAGATTTGGGAGATTCTCCACTTGGTAAGTCAGATATCTGTTTTCCCAGCTAGGGTGTGAGGCTGTGACTCAGGCTTAACCAGTTGAAAGCCGCCCCCACCCCTTTCCCAAGAGGGTGGCAGACGGCGCCTCATGGAGTCCCAGCTGCAGAGGTGAGAGGAGGAGGAGTGGGGGGTCCACAAATGCAGCACCCAGTCTGGGGCCGGCCAGGGCTACCATAGGGAGCAGCGCCAACGGTTGCAGCCTTGACTAGGGTGCATCTGGGCTGTGTGGCCTCCACTGCTTTGTCGCCCATCCTGGTGATCTTATGGATTTCCAGGTTTTTTAAAGTAGTTCCTCTTTTGTTAAATCAGCCAGAGTGCGTTTCTGTTGTTTGCAGTAGGAA